ACACACACACACACACACACACACACACACACACACACACACACACAGACGGGATGGAGGAGGAGGAGAGAGCCTAATTCATGCATGCACCGACTAAATAACAATCAGATGAAACACGAAGCGTCTCTACGTCATCCAAGGAAGGAACTGAGGAAGCAGGGGTGAGTGTAGCAGGGACAGGAGGGGAGAGCGTCTAGTCCTCGAGGGGCCCGTAACTGCCAGAGGGGACAGGGTCGCCACACGCGCACCGTCTCGATGTACTCGGACTTGTTGTACAGCAGTTCGCCCAACTCCATGGCTGCCTCCTCTCTGAATCTCAGGATCCTGTCAGTCGCTCAGGCTGAGGGTGATTCCAGCTACTTCCGGTTGACTGTCCACTTCCGCTATCCGCGCCCTCGACTCTCATCGGCTCTCTTCTAGTCATTCCTGCTTGATCGCTCGGCGGTCTCTAGCTGCGCATGCGCAGAGCGAACAGCGGCTTTAATTGGCCAGAGCGAGTAGCGCGCCGGACCTGTGTGGCTCTCCAGTCACATAGTGAGGGTGAACCAGGTCTCAGTACTTCCCCGGGATTCCTCCTGGCCCCAGAAAGCCCTGGTTGGGTCCCTGTGACCACAGGCCCGAGGCTGGCGACGGCTACTCCTTGCGTTCGGCTTCCATCCCGATGGAAGAGCTTTCCGGGAAGCCCCTCAGCTGTGCGGAGAAGGAAAAGGTGCCCGGGTTGCGGGAAGGGTGACCCAGGGCTTTAACCTGGGTTTTCAAACCTGGTTCCAGTATCCGAGGCAGTGTCCTCCGACCTACCCCCAACAAGTCATTGAGACAAGCTCGCTTCCCTCGTGGTGAAGCTTAAAATGCAAATTAATCAAACTTAACTTCTAGTGGCACTGCATAAACATTAGGTGTAAAACTTTACATATAGGTAAACCTAGAGGCCGCCTTCTCTCTCACTCCACCCCTGTCCCGTCACGTAAATCTTTCAACAGTCTTATAGATTTTGTGTTTATGTATTAGGCTTGACCTCCGAAATAGGTTTACATTGGAGAAGGGGATGTTTATAACATATACGCTGGTTGGTTCTGCAGCTGAATTTCTCCATGTTTAAGACCCACATTGGAACAGGACGAAGGGAAGAAAAAATATAAATATTACATATAATGAATAGGTGTTGTATGTGTGTGTGCATACAAGTTTAGTGTAGTTTGGCAGAGCTCTCATTTTTTTATCGGCTCAGTATATTCTCCTGCAAGGCTTAAATATTGCTTGTATGTTCTTGTGTTTGCTGTGCAAATTAGAATTCACGTTAATTTGTCCTTCTATCCAGTCTGACCTTCTATGGGCAGTAAAGATCTTTTACAAATAAACAAGATAACTCCCACTTACTGATAAGATTGAGGACAAGATAACAGGTTAAGAGCACAGACTCTAGGCCTTCCTAATGCTGTGACTGTTTAATACAGTTCCTCATGGTGTGATGACCCATGATCATAATTTCGTTGCTACTTCATAACTAATTTGCTACTTATGTGAATCAGAATATAAATATATGATATGAAACCCCTCTGGGGGTCTGGACCCTCAGCTCTGCCTGTGAGGGTTTAAATGGAGCAGTTAAAAATGGGAGCATCCTGGAGGAACTGCTTATGCTTTATTCAGTTTGCATATCTATAAAAGGAGAGTGATTATATAATAGAATCTGTTAGGTTTATTGTGAGTGCTAATTGAGTCAATGGACATTAAAGTCACAAAAGTCCCTAGGACCAACTGAAGCACATGCCAGCCATTTTTATTATTGTGTGTCTGAGAATGGATGGAGACTGAGGTGACTTTGGCGCAGAAGTGCTGGAGTCCACCAAGTGCTCTGGGAACTGAGGTGGGGAAAGTGCTTAAGAAGAGTTTAAGTTGTCAGTAACTTTTTTTTTTTTTTTACTTAATTTTTAATGATGAAAACAAAAATAGCTGGGCAGTAGTGGCGCACACCTTTGATGCCAGCACTTGGGAGGCAGAGGCAGGCGGATTTCTGAGTTCGAGGCCAGCCTGGTCTACAGAGTGAGTTCCAGGACAGCCAGGGCTACACAGAGAAACCCTGTCTCAAAAAAAAACAAAAAAAAAAAGAAAGAAAAGAAAAAGAAAACAAAAACATACCTAAAAGCCATTTGTTCTTCCCTCCTCAAAATTGACCTTGGCCTGCTGCCTGGCCTTTCAATTCAAAACTGGGTCTCTGAACATATCCTTGTTGGCAACCATTTTGTCCAAGGGGATATCGAGAGTACCTTGTGGGCATGAGGTGATTGTAGTTATAAACTCTCACAAAGAACTTGATCTTGGGTCACTTGGCAGTTTTCTTCTTGCCCATGGCAGCTGTCATTTTTGGGGAATAGTGATCAATTCCAGGGCATGGCTGTAAGGGCAGTCTGAGTGCGAACATAAATATTCTTCACGATGATGGCTTTGCATTCAGAGTAGTGTCCAGCCAGAACTAACACTATTTTCCTGGGTTTCATAAACTTGCTCACTTCGACAGCAATCAGCTGGCACCCACCAGAAAGGAAAGAAGGACCTGATAGTAACTTTCATTGTATAGCTTTTTTGTTCTTTTTGGTTTGTGGAGTTGTTCTTAAGAAAGGATCTCATATCCCAAGCTAGTCTTGGACTTACTAGGAGGCTAAGGATGACCTAGTACCTCCCAAGTGCTGGGGTTACAGGTGTTCACTAAAGAACTGGGTTTATGCAGTGTTAAGGATCAAAGTACATGGTAGGTGAACACTCTACCAAGAGAGATACATCTCTAGCCCCCTTTTGTGTTGTTTTAAAAGGAATATACTGAGGCTAGAAATCCAACAATTGTCTGAAGGATGAATACAGGGTTCCTAAAGGATGGAAAGACAAGGGTAGCTTTGCTGCTGGGAGAACATTTCAACCATAGAAGCTCAGGAGACAAAAAGAATCTAAACTCTCAAGGACTAGTAATTTGGCATAGCCTAAGTGAACGTATTTGCAAAAGCTTTGTGGAGATGCCTGCTGTGTGCCTGGCTGGGAACTCAGCAGCAGCAGCCCCTACCTCTCACTGGCTTTCTTCTCTGTATTCTTTAGGTGTATGAACTGGGTCCACCATGGAGCGTTCCTACTTGCGGTGCCTAGAGTAATTACACATATGATACTTCTACAAGACTAGTTCCTTCCTTTAGATCTAGGTGCAAGTGGTAGTCCTCAGAAATGCCTCCATGACTGCAATCCCTACAGGAAGCTAGTTACTTTATCACTTAGATTAATCTAGGTACTTATTACTATGTCAGATCTTATCTGTGCTCTTGAATGTTACCTGTATTCCTCACTGCAAGTAAACTGTCTTAACTACCTTGTAGTTCAAGTACCAAGGATAACTGATATTGTGTGTGTCGAGGGTAGGGGTAGGGTACTACTACAAGTTCCTGGGTCATTAAAGAACATTTATTGGTTGGTTGACTATGGTAACAGCCCCTCCCTGCTTCTCAAAGTGATGGGCAGATACAGGAAAAAATGGACAGCATAACGTGTGGTGCAGTAAATTTTGAGAATAGCACAGAGGAATGGAAGAGTGTCTAAACTCAGTTTGAGCAAGAACCTAGAAGTCTATCCTAGGGAAGTAATCCTGCAATCTGAGGCTCGAGGAATCATGCTCCATGTGACAGGAAACCATCATGGAAAGGTCCTGAGAGGGCTTGATGCGTTGTAGGAACTGAGAAAAGGTTTGAGTATGAAAACTGCCCTTCCCTGTATTGATCTTGTTGAGGGATGCTACTGAACTCTGCACACTGAGTACCATGTGCAATCTCGGGCATGCAAGACACTATATCCATTCCCTCTGATCTCACCTTTCCATTACTCAGAATTGTTAATGTTTTTCTTCCAGTTGAAGGAAAAGCTAGCATTTTTGAAAAAGGAATACAGCAAGACACTTGCTCGCCTTCAGGTGAGTGAATCATAGTTGGTTAAATTAAGGTGTTGCACAAACTGATCAAATTAAGGTGTTGCACAAACTATGTAAAAGGTTTTGTTGGTCTGGTTTTGGTTTTGGAACGGGCCTCACTGTGTAGTCCATTTTGAGTTAAACTCATAAACCTGCGGCCAAAAAAATGGCTCAGAGGGTAAAGTCACCTGCAGTCAAGCTTGACAAAGTGACCTCAATGCCCAGGAGTAACATGGTGTAAGGAAAGTTGTCTTCTGATATCTACTGAGAAATGCTAAAGAATGGGGGTATTCATGTGTGCACCACATACATACACAATAAATAAAACATAATAAAAATAAATACACCCACAATCCTGCCTTGGCCCTCAGGGTGATAGGATTACAGGTGTGCACCACTACAATTAATGGGGAGAAAGGTTCTCAGTGATAATAAAGCTTTAAGGAAAATTGATTTCTTGGGCTGCTTTTGTTTTCTCTAGCGTGCCAAAAGAGCTGAGAAGGTTAAGAACTCTAAGAAAGCAATAGAAGATTGTGTGCCCCAGCAGGAAATCTCCCCACAGCTAAGCCACTCGGGTAAATTAGCCGTTCACTTATACTTGCTTTGAATTCACTCCCCAATTTGCTGATATTACTTTGTTCACATTCCATGGAAAAGAAGCAGTAGACTTCTTAAATAACACAAAATTCACGTTATACAATCAAGCAATACCCAGTATTCAATTGGATTGCCAATTTAGTTGCTTTTTCTCTCCTCAAATTTTCAGAACTATATTCATTGTTGTAATTGGAAAAATGAGGTGTGTGTTTGTTTGTTTTTCGAGACAGGGTTTCTCTGTAGAGCCCTGGCTGTCCTGGAACTCCCTCTGTAGACCAGGCTGGCCTTGAACTTGGAAGTCCGCCTGCCTCTGACTCCCAAGTGCTGGGATTAAAGGCATGCGCCACCACCACCTGGCTGAAAAATGAGTTTTTAACTTGGGTTTTTTTTTTTTTTGGTTTTTTGAGACAGGGTTTCTCTCTGTTGCCCTGGCTGTGCTGAAACTAACTGTATACCACACTGGCCTCGAACTCAGAAATCCACCTGCCTCTGCCTCCCAATTAACTTGTTATTTTTAAATTTATTTTTAATTATGATTTTTTTAAGGTGATATTTTGCCACAAAGCTATAAGTAGCCTGGTACTTACAGTGTTTCCCAGGCTGGCCTCATACTCATGGCAGGCCTTCTACCTCAGCCTCAGGGCTATTCTTTGACTGTAAATATGCTGCATGAATGGCTATGTATATGATTCTGTGTGGGTCTGTTTTTGATTCTCTTGTGACTACCTGGGAGTGGACTTAACTGAATCTCATTTATACATACTTTCCCCCTTAGAACCTATAAATAAAGGCTTTCCTTGTGACAAGTTACAAAGCAACCATCTTGATGAGGAGACTGGAGAAAACATCTCCCAGATACTTGATGTTGAAACTCAGTCCTTTAACTGTGAAAATGGCCAAGAAGTATTACATACACCAGGAGCAGGTGACATCCAAGGACAATTTTTGCATAGCACCAGTAGCCCTGATGGTAAGAGAGGGCAGAATACACTTCCAGGAACAACAAAGAAGCTGCGGACGAAATCATCTGTTTCCCAGGAGAAGGAAGATTTCTTTGACACTAATTCTCTTGTGCTCCCTGGCAAGCACCGAAAAAGAGAGGAAACGGATAGTAGCAAGAATCCTAGGGCCCCAGTAAGTGAAAAGACTCACCTTTTAAGTCTGAAGTCTCAAACTCCTGACACTCCAGCCCTTGTTACAGGAATTGGAGAGGGTATATTAATCCCACCATCTGGCAAATCAGAAAGGGGTATTGATACACCTGTAAGAGGAAACAATATCTCTATGGAGACTGTAGTTCCTTCAGGTACTGTGTCAGACAACAATCATAGTCAGCACCTTGAACGTACACCTCCTAACAGTGGCTGCAAAATTACTACTCAGGCTCTGGCTTCATCCATAAACCTGGTGGCACAAGACGAAAAAATGACTCTATTTACAGATAACCCAGTAGTGTATAAAGCTGTGAGTGCCAGTGGTCAGCTGCCAGGAAGTCCTAATTCATGTTCTGTAAGTGATCTCACTCATAGTAACTTGGCAGCAGATACTACCCAAAACTCTAAGTCTTTAAAATCTCCTGGGAACATTGTTGATGGGAAAAATGAGAATCTTCAGGAAGATGAAATTCTTGGCCCATCTAAGAACCTCAGCCCAGCAGCAGTCTCTCCTCCTTCCACAGAAAGTCAAAAACATTCTTGTACAATGCTTGAAGGCCTTCTGTTTCCTGCAGAATACTATGTTAGAACAACCCGTCGTATGTCAGATTGTCAGAGGAAAATAGCTCTGGAAGCTGTAATTCAAAGTCATTTGGGTGTCAAGAAGCTTAAAAAGAAAAACAAAGCAACTAAGGACACAGTCCTCTGTAGTGAAGAGATGGACCACAGTGAAAGTGGCATGTTGGACACGAGCAGAGGACAGTCGAGTTCAGGAAGCCTCTCTCAGAAACTTCTCTCACCAGCTGAGGTCAGCTCTCCTTCAGGACTTGCTGACAACTCATCTAGGAAGGCCACTACATGGCCACATGGTAGAGGACGCAGAGGGAGACAAAAATCAGTCCACACCTCCACACCGGATCACTGTCAGCTGCTTTTCCCTCCTTGTGCCGCACTGGCTGTTAACAGGTCCAAGGGCAAAGTCACCAAGCATAAGTGTCAGAACAGAGAAGTGGTTATTCATGGTAAGAGTCGAAGGCAAGTCAGATTGTATTTGATGACACTTGATGTGACAGCTCATCATCACTGTGTACCTGGTACTTGTAAATGCTGTACAATATTAACTTTCTGAATCATCACTGCCCTATTCAAGGCAGTGATTATCTTCATCTTCAGTTGAGGAAAGTAAGGCAGAGGGAGGGTACAGTGTGGCACCAGAGGTCAGTAGTATGCTTGAAAAACTCAGCAAGGGAAATACATTAGGTGCTTCCTTAAACTAATACCTAGTCAGGTACTGCACAGTCTCATCCATGTATAGAATCTAAGGTAAGTGGTACATTCTCCATAGTACCCCAAAGGTTCCATAGTAAAATGGAACATGTATTAGGCAAAACTACAGGAAAAAAAAAACTGTCATGGTAGAAAGTCTGAGAACTTTTATGGATAACATAACTGTTCTCTTTGTAATATAAGATTTTGAGACAGCAAGCAAGAATAACAAGCTTCTTACTCATTTTCTCAGAAGTTAATCATACTTAATAAACAACAGAAAAATTGGATCACTTGGACTTTAGAGAATGAGCAAATGCCTGCAAATATAGTTAGTGAATATTTTGCTTGTCATTTTTCACCTGCTCAGTTGTGGTGCAGCAGGAGCCACAGACAATGTGTAACTTACTGTGCTTTCATAAAACTTTGTGTATAAATAGGCAGCAAACTGTTATATACCATATAGATGTTCCTTGCAAGCTATGATTCATTCATTTAAGAATAGGAAGCATGGGATAGAGAGATGGCTAAGCTGTTAGAGGCTAGGCTCACAACATAAGAATAGGGAGGATGGCTCTTAACCAACAATACAAAAACCTAAGAACAAGGCAAGGTATAATCTAGAACTTTTTGTTTGGAGACAGGGTCTCGCTATCTAGTCCAAACTGGTTTTGAATTCAAGATCCATTTGCCTTAGCCTCCTGAGTACTGGTCTACCTTGCCTAATTAGACATTTTGTTTTAATCTTTGAAATGATCTGTTGTAATTTTATTTTCTTTGTGTGTATAAGTGTTTCGCCTACCTGTGTGCCTGTGTACCACATGCATGCAGTGCTAGTGGTGGGCAGAAGAAGCGTCGGATTCCTGAGATTAGAGTGCAGAAGGCTGTGGGTCTCCATGTGGATGCCTCAGTGCTCTTAACTGTTACGCCATCTCTCCAGTCCCCTGCCCATGAAAAACCCTTTATGTTTCCATTATCAAGTTTATTACTCATATGTAAACTTGCTATTAATAGATATTTTTAAAGCACCATTTGTAACAAAGATAAAACCAACCTACAACAAAACCTATTTTATTTATTTTTTTTTTTAAAGATTTATTTATTTATTATATATGAATACACTGTAGCTGTCTTCAGACACACCAGAAGAGGGCAGCGAATCTCATTACGGATGGTTGTAAGCCACCATGTGGTTGCTGGGATTTGAACTCAGGACCTCTGAAAGAGCAGTCAGTGCTCTTAACCACTGAGCCATCTCTCCAGCCCCAAAACCTATTTTAATAACAATAAAAACAGGCCAAAGATTTTGGTGCTGCTTTATGGCTTTGGTTTGTTTAAGGTTTTCTCTTCCTTTTCCTGCTTCTCTTCCTCCTCCTCGTCTTCCTTTTTCTCTTCCTCTTCCTCCTCCTCCCTCTTCCTCCTTTTCCTCCTTTTACATGTGTGTTTGTTTTTTAATTTGAGAAAGGTTATTTCTATGTAGCTCTTGGCCTTGTGGACCAGGCTGCCCTGGAACTCATAAAAATCCCCTAGGTCTTCCTCCTGACTGCCAAGATACTAAAGGATGTTCATGTCTCTGCCTCTTTAATCTCAAATTCAAGGCTTTGGTCACCACACCTAGCCTAGTGCTTAGGTGGTCAGAAAAGGGATGTGGCCGGGCAGTGGTGGCGCACGCCTTTAATCCCAGCACCTGGGAGGCAGAGGCAGGCGGATTTCTGAGTTCGAGGCCAGCCTGGTCTACAGAGTGAGTTCCAGGATAGCCAGGGCTACACAGAGAAACCCTGTCTTGAAAAACCAAAAAAAAAAAAAAAAGAAAAGGGATGTGGTGTTTGTTTGAAGTTATTTATGTGAATGTGTGTGTGGATTTGTTCATATGACTGTAGTGCCTGAAGGGGCCAAAAGAGGAGAGCAAATCCCCTGGAGCTAGAGTTACAGGCAGTTGTGAGCTGCCTCCTCCATGTGCATTCTGGGAACCAAACTGTACATGTTCTTTTCTTTATTCTGCTCCTTAGATTTATTTTATTTTCAAATATGTATATGTGAATGCCTTGTGCGTGTGGATGCAGGTTCCTGCAGAAGCCAGAGATGTTAGGGCTGGAGGTACAGTTGGTTGCAAGCAGTTGATGTGAGGGATGGGAACCAAACTCAGGCCCTTTAGAAGAGCAATAAACACTCCTAATCTCTACGATATTGCTCCAGCCCCAAAGTACATGCTGTTAAGCACTCTCCATAGTCCCAGGGATATGCTTATAAGAAACATAGTAGGGTAATAAGTAGTATCAGTCTTTGAGGATTAGAAACTTTTTCTAGAGTTGACATTCACATAACATAAAATTAACTGTTTTTGTTAAGTGAGCAATCCAGTGTCATTTAGTGATTCACTGAGCTACTCAGTGGCATGCTACAGGGAAGCCCATACCCATCAGGCACCTGTTTCCTATTTACTCTTCATTCCCAGTCCATATACAGCTACCAGTCTTACTGCATGGTATCTGGGGAGTCCTAGCTTTCTGGTCACTTCAGATCACTGGACTTATGTCATGTGTGACCTTTGCATTTTCCATCTGTTTGCTTTCACCTAGCATTGTGTCCATGCTGTAGAACATGTTGGTCCTTCATTCCTTTCTGTGGCAGAAGAGCTTGGTGATCAACCAGTCTAGCTGAATCAGTGAGCTCAGGCCTCAGTGAAAGACCCTGTCCTAAAAAAAGTAAGGTAGAGAACATGTGAACATACGCATGTGAGAACATACATATGTACACCAAAAACAATAACATTTTATTATTTTAGAGTAATGATAATACTTTCATTGCACTGTGAGAACGAAATCCTAACTTTAAGGCAACTTGTCTTTTCTCACTATCACAGACTTTGAATTACCTGATGAAGACTTTGGGCTTCTTAAACTTGAAAAACTGAAGTCTTACTCAGGAAAACTGATTGAGTCTCCTGACTCAAAAAACTGTGGTGAGAGGCTTCCTAGAGAAGGAAACCATGCTGCTCTGGAGGAACCGCAAATAGATTCGGAAACTGAGTGCCTAGAAGAGGAGCTCGCTGTTCCGCCAGGAGAAGCATGCCACCCAGGGCCAACCCTGAGAAGGCAGCCCAGGAGCAAGGGCCTTTCGTCATCCATAGTGCTTTTCACTCCTACAGACACTGCTGTGCCTAATGACAGTGGCAGGCCTCCTGCCTCCCTGTGTTCACCTGCTTTCCCTGTCTTAGGCATGACTCCAGCTTTTGACTCCCAAGCAACTGGTGAGATTACATCTTCTGAAGCTGGACAGCCTTGTTCTGCATACCAGCCTTCTCTCGTGGGAGATACAAACAGTCTTGTTAATAACAATAAACAGTGCAAAAGTTCAGCCTGCTCACCAAAACTGGATACCAACGTGCAAGTGTCAGGTAGGCAAGGACAACCTGCCGGTGACAGTGACTCTGGCCCCCAAGCAACATCTCTACCTATTGAGTCATTCACTTTCAGAGAAAATCAGCTTTGTGGAAATGCATGCCTCGAGTTACATGAACATTCCACTGAACAGGTACAATCGTTTCCTTTGTGAAATTTTCTCTGAAAGGATGAAATGTCTTAGTGCATATGGACAGCATGATGTTCTCCTCATTGGCCTCCCTGTGTTTAAAGAGTTTTGCTATGTTTGTTGAAATATCTTCATTGTAAATGTTAAGCTCATTCTAGGAAAATTAAGGCTAATTAAATTGTGTATTTGTAATAATTTTTCTTGTTTTTGTATTATATACATTGGTGTTTTGCCTACATGTATGTCTGTGTGAGATGTCAGAGCCCCTAGACTAGACTTACAGACAGCTGTGAGCTGTCATGTAGATGCTGGGAATAAATCTGGGTCCTCTGGAAGAGCAGCCAGTGCTCCTAATTGCTGAGCCATCTCTCCAGCACCCTAAATTATGTATTTTAAAAATACAAAGAGGGTCCTACTCTTTGCTCAAAGGGAAATGGTTGCATTTGCCTTTGTGCTGTTAGAGGTAGCTGAGGTAGCTTTGCTGATGAGTGAGTGAGAAAGGCAAGCATCACATAACGTAAGCTCACATGTGACTTCTCTTTCCACAGACTGAAATTGCAGATCTCCCTGCTTGTGAGAGTTTAAACCCAGGCAACCTACAGTTGATCTCAGAGTTAAAGGTCAGCAAAATGTCCTGTTACTGTGTGCCTTGTACATTACATGTGAAACACTGAATGAGTTGGTGAGGACAGAGCTGTTTCATTTGTTTGTTTAATATTATTAAATATATTGAGATACAAGTACAAAAAAGCAGATGTTAATTCTTTTCACAGTATTTTCTTATAGTTATGCTTTGAATTATCTGAAATTTATATACCAACTTATTGCCAAGAACAACTTTTTTTTTTTTTTTGAGGCAGTCTCAGTATAGGCTGGCCTTAAACTCACAGATCTGCTTGCCTCTGCTTCCCAAATACTGTACTCAGATTAAAGCCATGTTCTACCATACCTGGCTTAACTTTTTCAGTGAACTTAAGTTCATTTAAATAGACAGACTTATTTATTTATTTAAAACAGGTATTTTGACAGGGTAGAGAGTAAGACAGGAGTCACGCATGCCTCTGCTACTAAATGGTGTGATATTCTTCAAGAATGTCTTACGATTTATAAGAAAATAGGTTGTGTGTGGTGGCACACATTTGCAAGATCAGTGCTCAGGAGGCAAGGAGTGTGAATGGGGCCAGTCTAGGCTGCCTATCAGTTTCAAGGTCAGATTGGGTTACATAGTAATCTCTTTCTCAAGAAAAGGAAAATCTTAGTTCTAGGTTTTGATGTAGTAAATGTTTAGCTACCACATCCAAAAAGGTTTCCAAACATTGCTGAATATTCTTGAATGGAGGTGAGGCTTTGGAGTCTTTTCCAGGTGAAAACCAGTAGTTCAGAGGAAAACCTTCAAACACACAGAAGTGTTGCTGCACATCACTCAGATTAGTCTCTGAGCTCCAGGCTCCTTTTCTGTAGCAGATATATAGGAATAGTGCCTATGCTCTGTGTCCAAGCTGTTAATGTATTTGTTTATTCTCTTACACATTATGTCATGGCCACACTTTCCCATCTATTCCTCCCAGTCTCCCTCTCCCCCAGATCCTCTTTTCTGTTTCCCTTCAGAAAAGAACAGGCCTGCCAGGGCTATCAACTGAACATGGCTTAACAGGTTGCAGTAAGACTAGGCACAAGGCTGGATGAGGAAACCCAGTAGGAGGGAAAGGGTCCCAAGAGCAGGCAAAAGAATCTGAGGTAGCCCCCCACTCACACTGTTAAGGAGTTACACAAGTACACCAAGCTAACAACCAAGACATGTATGCAGAGGATCTAGCCCAGCCCCATATAAAATCTGTGACGGTCGCTTCAGTCTCTGTGAGCACCTTTGAGCTCTGCTTGTTGCTTCTGTGGTCCATGGTCTCGCTGTGTCCTCCACTTGGGACAACTTTAATACCTTAGATTCAGATGGAATTTATCATTTGGCTCATACTTTCAAGTTTGTATGTTAATGGTTATGGTGTTTTGTCTGTCAGTGTATATGCAGTTAAATCTTTCCATTCTCCTACATGTTTTTTTTTTTTTTTTTTTTACTTAATTTGTTTGAGGCAGGGTCTCATGTATACCAGATTGACCTTGTCTTCCTGATTTAGCTGACTATGGCCTTCGAAGTGGTGGGTGTGCTGGGATTACAGTATGTTCTGTCATGACTAGATTATTGGGTGCAGGGAATTAAACCCAGGGTTGTATGTGACAGGCGAGAACTCTACCAAATGAGCCATACTCCCTGTCCTCTTGCCTTTGTCATGTTTGTTTTAAAGCAACTAGCTCTTGATTATATTGCTTTTGATCTGTGTTTTAAGGTCGTTCTCAAGAGTGTATCTCAGGCTGCCCTTAAACTCAGGATCCTCTTGCCTCTTTTTCCCGGTACTCAGATTACAGGCATGCACTGCCACACCTGGTTTACTCATTGTTCTTATTTTGTTCTCATTATTGTTTGTGTTTTTATTAACTCCTTGGGATGTATTCTATTTTATTTTTTCTAGTGAATGCTGCTTTGGCCATGCTTTGTGGGTTTTGACCCACAGTACTCTCTCCTTGTTCTAATAAAAACGGTGTATTTGCCGGAGGTAGAGGGGTAATGTATTCCTTTAACCCCAGCACTTGGGAGACAGAGGCAGGCAGATCTCTGAGACTTTTAGGCCATCCTGGTCTACAGAGTGAGTTTCACGACAGTCAGGGGTACACAGAGAAAACCTGACTCAAAAAACAAAAACAAAAAAAGAGAGAGAGAGACAGAGACAGAGGCATATTGAAGTGGGATTGTGGTGGTGCACACCTGTAATCCCAGCACTTAGGAGGCCAGCCTGATCTACCTTTCAAGTTCTAGACCAGCCAAGGCTACACAGTGAGACCCTTTTTTCTTTTTTTCAACTTTATTCTTTCTTTAACTGATGAGTTGTTCACCAGGATGTTTAATTTCCAAACAGGTCAGTTCTTGTGTGCTAACTTTGTGCGTGCGTGTGTGTGTATCTGTGTGTGTGTAAATCAGAATGTATTTCATTCTAGAATTACGTACTCTAAAACCTTTTATTTATAGAATTGAGACATTTTTATATCAAATCTAAGATGGTTTGGGGGTTGTGTGTTTGTGTGACATAAAATGTATACAGTTCTTTCTTATAACCTGCATAGAACTTTCATTTTATGTAGCTGGTATTTCTTCTCAGCTTTGTAACTCATTACCTTTGGTACTTTTTTTTTTTTTTTTTTGGTTTTTTGAGACAGGGTTTCTCTGTGCAGCCCTGGCTGTCCTGGAACTCACTCTGTAGACAAGGCTGGCCTCGAACTCAGAAATCCCCCTGTCTCTGCCTCCCAAGTGCTGGGATTAAAGGCGTGCGCCACCACTGCCTGGCCCTACTCTTTTCATTAAGTAGAACTTTAACATAATTTCTCCTTCTGGGTCAGAATCCTTCCAGTTCCTGCTCTGTGGATGTGAGCGCCGTGTGGTGGGAAAGAGCTGGTACTAAGGAGCCATGTATCATAGCTGCCTGTGAAGATGTAGTTTCTCTTTGGAAACCCTTGAATTCTGTGCAGTGGGAGAAAGTTCATACCTGGCACTTCACAGAGGTATGTCCAAGCCTCAGGGCTAAAAGGTGGATCTGTGCCATTTGTGATGTGAATGAACAGCTTAACAGAGATCTGTGACTACTCACTGTAAACTCATCTTCCAGCATTTATTATGAATGAAACATCTCAGACTTAAAGTTTACATTGAGCACCCCATGCTCACCATCGAGACCCCAGTGTTACCATAGCGCTTTGTTTGCTTCACCATGCTTGTATGCGCGTGGAGTTCTACAGCCAGTCTATTGGGAAGCTTGTATTGCTTGTCTATTCTGAGGTCTAAACTGCTGATAGTCATATTTCTTCTTCACAAAAAATACTATTCTGTTTTCCATATATTATCTTTATTCCTCTTCATACACCTCTAACATGGTTACAGTATTACTGTGTTTAAATCTGTGTTTAGATTATTATTATCTTATTGTATGTTTGTATATGACACGTGAGTGTAGATGTGCGCATGAGTGTGGGAGTCTGAGGACAGCTTTCAGGAATCATTTTCTCCTTCCAGTGTGGGTGCCAGGGATCAAACTCAGGTCTCCAGGCTTGTATGGCAAGTGTTTTTACCTCCTGAAGCACCTTCCCAGTCTCTGTTTAAGATTGTGAACGCATGTAAACATTTATGTGTACATATTCCTTTCTGTGGTGAGAGGAGAGTATTGAGAAAGGTCTCATGTAGCCCAGGTGGCCTTGAACTCCCCATGGACTGAAGCTTACCCTGAACTGACCTGCTTCCATTTCCCTGTCAAGTGCTGGGATTGTAGGCACACACCACATGCCTGGGTTTTCTCTATATTCTTCCTATGTATTTGTATTTGTATATGTATTTTTTCCCCTGAACTCACAGCTTTGAGGACTGGGCTTTGCACACAGCTGACAGTGAACATCTATCTGCTTAGTGACTAATAAAATTTCCTTCTTTTTTTTCCTGAGGGCCTTATTCATGCTAAGCTCATGATCTGCCATTGAACTTCACCTCTAGCTGCTAAACGAAAATGAGTTTTTCTTTCTTCTTCCCTCCTTCCTTTCTTTATGTATATGTGTATATGTAGGTATGCAGGTGGTGAATCTATGTATTCAGGCTCAAGTACATGTGTTTGTGGGGACCAGACGACAGCATATGTATACATCACATGTCAATCCTCAGGAGCTGTCTGTCTTGATTTTTGAGACAGGGTTTCTCATGAGCTTAGAACACACTGAGTAGTCTAAGCTGAATGGCCACTGAACTTTAGAGATCTACCTGTCTCGGCCTTCCCAAAGCTAGGATTACAAGTACCTGCTATTTCACCTGGCTTTTTTACATTGGGTTCTGAGGTCAGATTCTAATCTCAGTCTTACAAGCCAAGTACTTTGCTTATTGAGCAAGCTTCCTATCTTTTTAACACATTTTTTTAGTAAAGATTTCAGTATGCAGATGTATGTTGGGGAGAGTATGTACATATGAGTGCAGGTGCCCACAGAGGCCAGAAGCGCATTTTGGATCTCCTGGAGCTGGAGTTGCAAGCAGTTGTAGGCTGCCTCAGATGCTGAGAACCAAATCTAGGTCCTCTATAAGAACAGCAGTGGTTCCTAACTGCTGAGTAATCACTCCAGTCCACCCCAACTGCCCTTTTGAGGCAGAGTCTCACTGTGTTGCCCAGACTGGCCGCACTCAGGGACTCAGGTGAGTCTTCTATTTGAGCTACTCACTCCCCTAGACTAATTTTTAAATGGCGCCTTAGTGCTTTCTTCATCTGTTTGCTAGAATTTACTAGTTCTTGGTTGTTAGAGGCATAAATTGCATTGTACAAGCACTTATTTCCTTGGTGTGATATTATTTGCTTAGCTTAAGTGTATAGTCCTAGCTACAGGAGGCTGAGGCAGGAATGCTTATTGCCAGTACTTTGAGACTTGCCTTGCCAACACAAGGAGACCCTACCTGAAAAAAAATTAAAGTAAATACTAACCTAACTCCTAACACGGATTGCTATTTAATTGTTTATTTGGAGAGGGGTGTTGATAGTGGTCTCATACGATAGCCCAGGCAGTCCTTCATTTTGTGACCCCCAACTCCCCTGCTACTTTAGCTTCCATAGTCCTGGACTTATAGGTCCACATTACCACATCCAGCTCATACAATTAGATTAGAGCTTGTAAGAAGGTTTTTCTGAGGGTCCATATGGAGTGGCACATGCTTTTAATCCCTGCACTTGGGAGGCAGAGGCAGACAGTGAGGTACATACTGAGTTCAGGTCAGTCGGCAATACATAGTGAAGCACTATCTCAAATTAAAAAAAAAAAAAACAAAAAAAAAAAAAACAGAAAACAAAACACCAAAAGGTTGTATGAGGGGCAGAAGAAGATTTTTTCTGAATCTTCACATTTCACACATAGTCCTGATTCCATAAGAATTCAAGATAATGTGATTAGCAGGCTAAGGCCTGTAATCCCAGCTACTCAGGAGGCTGAGGCAGGAAGATCACAGGTTCAGGGCCAACCTACACAATTTAATATGACCCTATTACAAAATAAAAAGTAAAAAGAAAACTAGAAGTAACATAAAGAAAAGAATGATACATTTTTTTCTGAAATATTCATGAAACTCTAAGTGACTGAATATCATTTTCTTTTATATAGGTTCCAGTATTACAAATAGTTCCAGTGCCTGATGTTTACAATCTTGTATGTGTAGCTTTGGGAAGTTTGGAAATCAGAGAAATCAGGTATGCAGTTTCTGAGGATTACACATGTGATGTCTCTCTTGCTCTTGCACTCCACCATCTTTGTTCCTTTCAGTTATTTTTGAGTACACATTATAACCCACACTTCAGTATTAAAAGCATGGCATGTTAAAAGAATTGAGTTTCTGGTCTGGAAAGATTTTTCAGTGTTTAAAGCTACTTGCTGCTTTTAAAGAGGATCCGAGTTGGGTTCCCAGCACCTACATTAGGTGGCACACAATTACTTTCAACTCCAATTCTAGGGAATCTCACACCCAGTCTTAGGGTTTTACTGCTGTGAACAGATACCATGACCAAGGCAACTCTTATAAGGACAACATTTAGTTGGGGCTGGCTTACAGGTTCAGAGGTTCAGTCCATTATGATCAAGGTAGGAACATGGCAGCATCCAGGCAGGCATGGTGCAGGAGGAGTTGAAAGTTCTGCATCTTCATCTGAAGGCAGCCAGCAGAATACTGACTTCTAGGCAGCTAGAATGAGAGTCCTAAAGCCCATACCCACAGTGACACACTTCCTCCCCAACAGGGCCATACCCTGGGCCGAGCATATACAAACCATCACATACCCTCTTCTGGCCTCTCCAGGCACCTACATGTACATATTGTACACATACACACTCAGGACACAACCACAAATGAAACAAGTAAATCTTTTCTGGAAAAACATTAGTTTAGGGCCAATCATGGTGACATACTGTAATCCTAGAATTTGGGAGGCTGAAGTGGAAGGACTAAGAGTTCAAGGTCAGCATTACCCTTAGCTGTATTATAAGACCCTCAAGTCCTGCATAAGAACCTCACTCAACAATTAAAAACACACTGAAAGGGTTGGCGAGATGGCTCACTAGTTAACAGGGCTTACTACTCTCAGAGAAAACCATCTCCTGTCCTCTGTGGGCTCCTGTATGTCTGTTGAATACATAAACTCATGCAGGCATGTACACATACACATCAAAATAAAAAAAAAAAAAAAAGAACTGGGGACTGGAAAGATGGCTTAGCAGTTAAGAGTGCACGTTGCTCTTGCAGGAGGATCCAAGTTCAGTTCTCAGCACCCTTGTAGGGCAGCTGAACAACTACTTGTAACTCTAGCTTGAAGGGATCTGACGTCATCTTCTGGTTCTACGGACACTACACTCAGGCGCACCCACCTGTAGCGGGAGGTATTAGAAAGGAGCTTGTGCCGGGCGGTGGTGGCGCACGCCTTTAATCCCAGCACTTGGGAGGCAGAGGCAGGCGGATTTCTGAGTTCGAGGCCAGCCTGGTCTACAGAGTGAGTTCCAGGACAGCCAGAACTACACAGAGAAACCTTGTCTCGAAAAACCAAAAAAAAAAAAAAAAAAAGAAAGGAGCTTGTAAGCCAGGCAGTGGTGGCACACGCCTTTCAGATACCAGGACCCACATCCACATGTGTACCTACTCTTATACACATATACAAAATAAAATCCTTAAAAAATTGAAACCATGTGTAGACTGACATCTATGACTGAAGTTACTATTTAAAATTTATACTCAGTGCCTTATTGCCCACTGCTTACTCCTGGCTTCTTGAATTTGTGTTTGGTGTAGGGCCTTGCTGTGTCCCTCTGATAATGAAAGTGAAAAGCAAGTCCTCCTGAAATCTGGAGATATAAAAGCTGTGCTTGGGGTGACAAAGAGGAGACTAGTTAGTAGCACTGGGACCTTTTGCAATCAACAAATACAAATCATGACATTTGCTGAAGACGGAAGGTAAGAAAAGCATTTATTGGTCTTCACTGTTCTGTAAAAGAGGCATTTATCTCAGGCTTCAGGGAAAGTGGATGCCTAGGAACCTGGTTTTCTCTGCTGTAGATGTGGTAGCAAGCATGGCCTTAATGCCACATTGCAACTAACAAGCAGGTTAAAGAGATGGAAGCCAGGGAAACCAGTGGAGAGGAGAGGCTCAGCAAGTGTAGTTGGTTCTCTCTTTGGCTTTGTTTAGAATTGCTGTGTGTCTCTTGAACATAAGAAGTACCTTGTTCTATGTTGTTCCTTGCTTCCTTGCCCATTTAGATGCAACCTGCAAACATGCATTTCTAGCTCTTAGCTGTTTCTCATGCTCTAGACCTGCATACTGGTTTAATAGTCACTTCTCAGGTCCTTCAGGGTCAGCACGTGGCAATCTGAACTAAAACATTTTCTCCTTTTGTCATGTCCTATACTTTCCCAGTTTGTTTCATTTTAGTCCTGTGGATTAGACCCTGTTACTGAGCCATACTTCAGTCTGTTTTCTTTACTGTTTTTTGTCCTTCCTCTTCACAGAGGACAGGGATCTTATTTGTCATAACTCACCCTGAACCAACATGGCAATCTGGGCAAGAGTCCAGTGATTCCTTAAATTAAGTAAATGAACTGCATGTGGTGGTACACACCTGCAGGTGGGAAGATTGGTGTGAGGGAGTCAGCCTGGGCTACACAATGAGTCCTGGGCTAGCCTGGACAGCAAGATGACCCTGGCTCTAATCAAACAATTGTCAGAGAAGTGTTGGTGGAGAAGGAAAGAAGACAGATTTGTGAGAAATGAGTCTATAGAATCAATAAACCTGCTGATTGAGTGGCTGTAGAGGAAGGGGACAATGATGTCAGTGTTCAGGGTTGGTTACCTGCATAGATTGGTAGTTCAGACATTGAGGTAGGAATGGGAAAAAATATATTTAAACAGAATGTTTGTGAGCTTAACATTGGCTAGAGTGGATTTGAGGTGATTGTAACATGTTCAAGATGAGATTAAAAAGATGTGTTTAGCTGGGTAGTGGTGGCGCATGACTTTTATCCCAGCACTTGGGAGGCAGAGGCAGGTGGATTTCTGAGTTCGAGGCTAGCCTGGTCTACAGAGTGAGTTCCAGGACAGCCAGAGCTATACAGAGAAACACTGTCTTGGAAAAAAAGAAAAGAAAAAAAAAAGAAAAAAAAAGAAAGAAAGAAAGAAAGAAAGAAAGAAAGAAAGAAAGAAAGAAAAGATGTGTTTATTGTAGAAAATTTAGAAGATAAGTTTTCTAGGTAAAAGTTTCTTCTGTATTCATTGTTGGGTTTTTTAAATTTTATTTATAGTAAATAAAATAATTAAATACACACACACACACACACACACACACACACACATATAGAATATGAATGAGTGTTCCATCTGCATGTACACCTGCATGCCAGAAGAGGGCATCAGATGCATCAGATGACGTTGTAGGTGGTTGCTGGGAATTCAGCTGAGGACCTCTGGAAGATCAGCTCTCATTTAGTGTTGTTTCGTACATAGTCTAGTAATGTATAGAAGTACTACTTAGAAACTGTTTTGGTTCAGAAGTGATTTTTCAGTACTGTTTTAAATACAGCAGCAAAGATGAACAGCTTTTGATGCCTCCTGATGAGACTATACTGACTTTTGCTGAAGTCCAAGGGACGCAGGAAGCCCTGCTTGGTACTACCACTATGAACAGCATTGTGATCTGGTAAGCTTTCGCTCTCTATGTGAATGCACTTCTGTTTCATAGTTGTGAAGATTAGGTATGCTGGGCATGGGCAGGGTATGGTGGTGTATACCTGTAATCCCATAACGCAGGAAGCTGAGGGGAGGAGGCTGATGGATCCTTAGCTGGATATGTGGAAAGACACTGCCTCAGAGAAAGAGAGACTGCAGACATAACTGTGGTTTTCTCTGTTCTACTGTTAGAAGCTTTGTCCTTGTCTTGACAAGAAAGTGAACCTAGATAAGTGAAAAAGAACATCTTAGAACTGTTTCTAAGATACAGAGTCAAGGACTAGCTCAGGTGTTAAGAGCACTGACCTCTCTTCCAGACATCTTGAGTTCAATTCCCAGCAGCCACATGGTGGCTCACAACCATCTGTAACTTTAGTTCCAAGGGATCTGATGTCTTATTCTGCCCTCCATGGGCATCAGCCACATACATGGTGTACAGATATACATGCAGGCAAAACATCCATAGTGCTACAAAATAAATACTCAGTAAGTCTTACAAACAGACAAGCAGGCATGCATATGTGAATGTGTTGTGGAGACAAATCATTATAGTGAGTGGTATAACTTGTAGCTGCCTTCATTCCCAGCACAGGGGGATGATGGAGAATATTGAGTAGAATGTGAAGAGGTTATCCACAGTAGTATAACAGAGTCCACCCAAGGCTGAACTATCAAGTTCAATTTTTGACAAAATTAAACTACCATTACACTTTTAATAAGGTTGTATAAGGTACTAGGCATGGTGGTGCATGCCCTTTATCTTAGCATTCAGGAGGTAGAGGCAGGTTGATCTCTGTGAGTGTGAGGCCAGCTTGGTCTACATTAGGAGTTCTAGACTAGCTCGGCCCACCTAGTAAGACCTTATCTCAAAAAACAAGAAGTACTGTATGAATTGTGGCTAAATATAATACAGTGCTCTGTCCCTTAGTGATGTCCTGTTGCTACCTTCCAAAACAGTTAGTAACAAATTCAGAACATTATATGTGAAGCAGGATGGTGGTGCAGGCCTGACATACCAGCAATGAGAGGTTGTGGCTGGAGGACCACAAGTTTGAGGCTAGCTTAGGCTACATAGTGACACTCTATCTTTAAAGGAAAAGACATATAATATGTGAAAATCATTTTACTGGAAGAATGTAATTTTCTCACTTATTTTGATGTCTAAGGAATTTAAAAACTGGCCAACTCCTGAAAAAGATGCACATTGATGACGCTTACCAAGCTGCCATGTGTCACAGAGCCTATTCTGAGATGGTGAGTAGTGGCCCAGGGCTACGTGGTGTTTATTTGTATTATCCATTGCTCTCACCAGTGGGGGAAGTAACAGTGGCAGTCAGCATGCCCTCCTGTTGTCTTTTCTTTTAATATTGGATGGCAGTGTGCTTTGACTTGGCTTTGCGTTGTTTTGAGACAGGTTCCCCGGTAGCTTAGGCTGGCCTAAACTGTACTAAGTAAGATGAACTTGAACTTATGATCCCTCTGCTTCTACCTCTCCAGTGCTGGGATTTCTGGCACAAGCCAGGCACTCTATTGACTGAGCTGTTTGTTCTTTTTTTGAGATTTATAAATGAAAGTGTTAGTGCAGAGTGATTGCTTGTCGAATTTTATGCCTATGTGACTTAAAGACCCATGTCCAAACTATGAATTTTGTGCTAAAAATATTATCCCTGTTATCAAACTTGACGCCTAACTACTTAACAAAGAAAAAGGGAAAAAAATCACAATATAGTCCTGATTGGTCTGGAACTCAATATGTAGCTCAGGCTATCACAAAATCTTGAGCCTAGCTTTTATAATCTGTTACGAAGGATGAATCTGTTTCTAGAATGGATCTATTTGTCTCTATTTAAGTAACTGGCATATTTGGCATATACTAATTACTTAAGGTCTTACGTGGGTTTTTCCATACAAACCACAGATGATGGTTCCTTTTTGTCACTTTCTGGGAATTCTGAGATTTAATTTATAAATGAGTACTTCCAATTTGAGGGTTCCTTGTACACGTCTCTATGTCATCCATCGTTGTACGAGCCTTGTCTCAGTGGATGGCACTAGGTGTATCTAAAGTATAGGAACCTGAGGAGTCGTGATTGTCAGGAGTGGCGATCACCTCAGCTGCTGCTGTGTGGAAGAAGGGAAAGTGGTGGTTATATCCTGCATGTTGAAGAGTCTGTCGATCGTTCCTTCTGCGTTGGTTTTGTCACCACTGCCAACATACTGTTGATGGTCGGGTTGGTTATTTCTCTCCTGCATCAGGGGCTCCTGTTTGTTGTTCTGAGTCATCCTTGTGCCAGAGAGAGTCAGGCCTTTGGAAGCCCGGTGTTTCAGCTGCTGGTGATTAACCCTAAGACAGCTCAGAGTGTGGGCGTTCTGCTGTGCTCCCTTCCTCAGGGGCAGGCTGGAAGGTAAGTGTGCGACTGCTGGTCAAGAGTGAGGTCATTTTGAAGGCACTCTGCTGGGTACTTTTGTGTCACTAAAATCTACAGAAACCATGAGATGCTGACGCCCATTGTGCTACAGGGCTTGCTCGCTGGTAGAGCTTTTTATAGAAAACATTCTTTTTTGCTGGTTTGTTTGTTTTTCAACAAGATTTCTCTGTGTAGCCTTGGCTATCCTGGAACTCAGAGATTATCCTGCTTAAAATATTTTCTTTTTTTTCTTTCTTTCTTTCTTTTTCTTTTTTCTTTTTTTTTCTCACTTTTTTTTTTTTTTTTTT